GCCAAATTTATGGTCAAAATTTGACAAAAAATACGATGGGACCAGTAAACTTGAACCGGGTAAGAAGCATCCAAACAGAGATATAAATTATGTGGTAAGCCACTTTAGTACCGAAAGTGTTGTTCTAATCCGAGCTCATGTGAGCTCGGGTAAACAGTAAAAATAATATCAAAAGATTTCGAATTTTTTTTTTGTGTGAAACATTGACAAATAGTGTGACAGCTTGCAAAGTTTCATCATGAAATGACGTTCGTGGAAGACGTGGCAAAAAAAATGCTCCATAATGCGTTTCAAAAGAACATTTTGCAGCATCAATTTTTTTTCTGCCACAATTCCACCAATGTCATCATGATGAAATTTTGGAAGCTATCAAAATATTTGTCAATGTTACAAAAAAAATAGTTTTTTTATTTTTTTTATATTTTCAATTTTATTGTTCACCCAAGCTCACATAAGATGAGCTTGGGATGAGAACAACAGCTTCCCTTTAGAGAAACTCCAACGGGGCGACCCATTTCGTCCGCTGGCGTCCGTTTGGGTCGGTGCGGACACAAAAGGCGGTCCAAAGCGCCGACCCAAACGGACGCGCGTCCGCTTGGCGTCCGCATGGCGACCCATCCCCTGCCCAATTTTAAGCTGGATTTGCGTCGGCGTGGACAGGAGAGGGACGCGCGCGCGCGCTTACTCCTTTCCCCGGGCCCGCCGGTTGGTGGCAGCCACCACCATTCCTCCCATTTCTCCCAAAAAACCTCCCGCCTGCGCGCGCTCCCGCCCCACACCCGCCATGGACGATGACCTCAACCTCGACGCCGCCGCTAGCCTCGCCTCCCTCGCCTCGTCCGGCATGACGACCGCCCCCTTCGGCAAAGGCAAGACTCGTGCCCCGCGCAAGACTGCCGCCGCGTCCAAGCCAAGGAAGGCGATGACGCCCGAGCAGCGGGCAAGGGAGTCGACCAAGAGGAAGGGCCGGAGGCACGCCGCGGGCGCGAGGGATGAAGCCGTCGTGGCCGCCGCCGTCGCCTCCGCCGTGCAGCAGGAGGTCACCAATGCCCGCATCACAGCGGCAACGAGGGAGGCGCTCTACATGCTAGGGTTAAACCCTAGCCAGCACGGCCTCGTGAACTCCGCCGTCACCGCGGCCAGCACCGGCTCATCGGCGTTCCCTCGGATGGTGCTGTCCGACTAGCCCCGCGCGTCGGCTTGCACCCCGATGCCCGGCTTCCACGTGTACCCGCAGGCCTCCCGCCTCTTCGGGGAGTGCTCGCCCGACGTGAGCGTGGTGGCGCCTTCCACGCCCACGCCCGCGCCCATTGACCTCAACGCCACACCGATAGCCAGTGGCTCGTCATCCGGAGGCGCGAGGAAACGCGCGCTGCAGATGCCGACCGGCGTGCTCCCGGACGCCCACAACCTGTTCGAGGGAATGACGTCCGCCGTCGGCGAGGACTACATGCAGAACCTTATCTTCGAGGGCGGTGCGTCGGCCGCTGGCTACGATCCCGACGAGACACAAAGCCAGGACGGTCGCGGGGTGTTCACACCGGCCGCTGGCTATGATCCCGATCAGGCGTCCTTCATGCGTGATCAGGTCGGCATGGACCTGGACGGCTTCCCACTTGATCATGAGTTTTCGGACGACTACGGGCAAGAGGAAGAGGACGAGTGCGACATCGAAGCGAAGGCTTTGTTCGAGGACGAGCTTGCCAACCAAGCCACCGGTCCGGAGTCGAAGCGCAAGAGCAAGCGCACGAAGGCATACACGGCGGTCGAGGACAAGCTTCTATGCGAGTGTTGGCGAGACATTGGACAAGACCCCAAGACGGGCGTCGAACAAAAGCATTCAACCTTTTGGATCCGTGTCCACCAGGAGTTTCATGAGCGCAAGAAGTTTCTGCCTTACCAAATTGTGAGCACGCGCGGGTGGGTGTCCATTTCGAAGCGATGTAGGGTGATCCGACAAGAGTGCAACAAGTTTTGTGCCACTCTTGAGAGCGTCAAGGCCCGCCCCGTGAGCGGCATCGGCATGCAAGACATGGTATGCTAGCAAGCCGCCCTCTTTTGTGTCATCAAGTTCATGCTTGCATGTTCATTTGCATACCATTTACCAATATGCTTGCATGGAAACATTTTGTAGGCATTTCAAGCTTTGGAGATATTCAAGGTCCAACACAATGGCAAGTGCTTCAACCTCTTCCATTGCTTTCGGGTCATCACGGACGATGAGAAGTTCAAGGCGCAATATGTCGCCTTCAAGTCGCGTGGGGGGAAGCAAGCTGTGGAGGAGGTTGGGGACGGCGAGCCGGCACGGCCGCGGGGGAAGACCAACTCCAAGAAGGAGGACAACCGGGATGCGGCATCCAACGCCTTGATCGCAAGCATGGAGGGCATGATGAATAAGAAGGGCTCAAGGGAGGAGGAGCGTCGGCGTTTCAAAGAAGAGCAAATGAACGCCTTCATGGAGATTCAAAGGAGGAGGCTTGAGATGGACGCGGAGAAGCAAGCCAAGATGCTTGAGCTGAAGGAGGAGAAGCAAGCCAAGATGCTACAGATCGAGGCCACCAACGCAAGACCAAGGCAAAAGAAGTGGCTCTCGCGAGCATGATGACCGGGGTGAAGATCATGAAGGTGGATCTTAACACCGTGTCGCCAAGAAAAAGGCCGTGGTTCGAGAAGATGCAGGCCAACGTGCTCAAGTTCACCGACCAGTGATCTCGTGGCCCCGAGCGCCTTCCTTTTTGTATGTCAGCTTGTGTGCTGGCATGACCATGGGGCCGCGATGGCGTGGTCGAACTCAAGTCCCACCCCTTTTTTGTGCTGGCATGTGTGCCGGCCGCTGGCGAGTGCGCCAGCGCGAACTATGTGGTGATATTTTTTGAAAGCGGCAATGTATGCAGGCGTCGGCATGGTGTCGACATGAGGCATGACCGTTGGCATTAATCTATGCGCAGCAGACCTTCTTTAAAAATTAAATGCGGACATGAAAATGGGTCGGCGCGTTAGGCGGACGGCCGATCCAAATACAAAACAGAATGGATGCCAGGCGGGCGGCCGACTCAAACGATAAAAAAGAATAAATGCGCCGTCTGTTTGGATCGGTCCGTTGAAGTTGCTCTACACGTTATTATATAGCCAAGACCGCAACCAACTGGTACTGTGATACACGAAAGCAACACCTGCACATAGAACTGAACCTCCTTTTTCTTATCGAACACAACGTCATCTCAATGTATAGTCAAAACGAAGGAGAAAAGAACACGTTGAAAAAATTTAGCTCCGGTCTTGTGTAGAACCTCCTAGTTCTACTAGGACACGGAAGTTTCCAGACTTGCCTCCAATTTGTGCTCCTTGTTACGCGGCAAACCTGTGGCATTGGTTTCAGTTCAAGGGTAGGCGAGGAGAGCGCGAGGCTGATGAGGCAGCGAACCAGCGCCGCGCACGGCGGGTGGCTCGCATCCACCGGTGCTAGTTCCGGAGGCTTCGGGTTTGTCGCCTCCGGTGATCCATCCGCATTGGCATTGTCACTTTCCAGGCGCACAACGCAACGGGACGACAGACAACCGAGCCAAGCAAACCAGCGCCCCAAAATTTGGTTGGAGTTGCGCGTGGAAAAGAAGACTAGCGTGCAAATTGAGGACGCAGCCATTTGTAGGAGACTGCAGCCAGCACCGAAGCAGCACGACTCCACGTCCTTGCAGACCTTACCCTACTCGTCTCGCCACAGATGCAGCCGCTAACATCAGTGAAATCGCTGGTGCAAAGCATGCCAGCATTTATTTTTTTAAACGGAGGCAAAAATTTTGCCTTATCTATTAATTAAGAAGAAGAGAGTTACCTAGTTAATTTATGGAAAACCAGACGAAAACCATCACAACCATGCTCAAAAGCACGACCCCATCCACATGTGAACTACTCCCGAATCATGGAGCCACAGGACCGAAGCACCCAACACACTACTACTGCAACCCACAACATATGGGTCCCTATACTGCAAAAGAAAACCAATCGACATAATGCAACTCGAGGAAAACACATCGACGAAAACCACCCCCATGACCGAGCACACGTCTGCAACTCAGAAAGCCGAGAACCATCCATCATGGAACCATTTACGCCTCCCCTCTAGCGCTATCCTTCTTGCTTTTGCTCCTGCAAGATTTCTCTTTGAGGATGCCAGATCTAGAGTTAGCGCCACCCTTCTTGTGCTTCTCCCTCAAAGCTTTTTCCTCCAAGAGGCATCCAATCGTCTTTCCAGAATTTTTAGAGTCCAGGTTGGCTACGAATTCACAAATCTTGGTGGCTAAAAGGACACCAGGATTAGGCACCAACACTCCGGCCACAACAATTTTATCAGCCATAGGAACCACACCTCCAAAGGGTTCAAGCGATCGCGTGTTAACCATGTCTGGACCATCACCCTCCACACATGCATACTCCGACTGACTAGGCTTCAACGGAGGTGGAGAGGGCGTCGAGGCAACCGTCACCGCCCCAAGCGAGCCCACCTTCGAGAGCACCATCGATATAGGCGAAGATGGTTCCACACTTAACACCTGCAACTCAGGCATACATTGTAGCACCGGAGTCACGCCCTCGATGACGACCTCACTGGATGCCAGCATTGGAAGTTTGGAACACAAGATCTGATCTGCGTGGCTAACTGCACCCTTCATCAGGAGCAGGACTGTACTGTCATGTCACACGCCGTAGCGGTTAATTAACAAACTTGGTTCGTCAAAACTTTGTTCCTGCACATGGTGCCGAAGACGACAGCAACCTGTCTGAAACATCACAACTTACACATGTTTGGATACCAACATCATTAGTAATGCCAGTTCTCACCCTGCACTATGATATTATCCATTTGTCTAGAGAGCATTACAATTTCGACACCTTGTTCTACCTGACATGCTCGCATAGGACCTCGGAAGAACAATAGCAATCACATATGTCCAGGCGAGGCGACACTCATTGTTCATCCGAACCTATCCAGAGGACGTTTGCTAGGCCAAAGGTCCTGCCCTCCGCACACGAACACGCTCACCATTGAAATGGATGTACTTCCACTTCTTCAAGTGTTTTTCAAGGACAGGCTTCTGCTTATCTTCCTGGCCTGAAGTTGCAAATGCTCGTCCGATTCTTCTTGTTGTATCCTCGTCTGGACGCACGCCCAATTCCTCCATGTCAGCATATATCTGAAATTGGCAAGGAAGAATTAGACTGAAGTCTCAACTTTGACCAACCAACAGACACCACTTAAATGCAATTGATCATTAAAGCACAATAGACTGTCCCGTGATGATACTGTATCGTTAATTATTAAACTAACAGTCATCATGTCTCCTTTCCAGTTTATTAGGATCATCTAAAAATCTGTAATTTTTCAGTTTGTAAGGCCAGCAATAACTATCGTCCCTTGTTTATGCGCCCGCTCGCCTTTCGGGCATTTAATTTCTGCCTAATTTTGATTCTCAATGTTGCTTTAATCCAAGGTCCAACACTTAATTAGAACCCTCCTTGGTTACATTTTTAGATGAGCCGAATAAACTAAAAAAGAGGGAGCCTGGAAATAACAAACTCAAGTAGTTTGAGATGAACCACACATTTAGCCTTGGTTGCACATGATTCTCAAAACGAAACACTAGAGCAAATGTGTTAAAACTCAAATTTAACCTCCAAAACTTTGTCTGGAAGATGGCGCGTGTTGTAAATCTGGATCATCCGAGAGAACAACTTCTTGGGCACTGAGCGTGTATAAGTTTGTAAGATAGTATTCCAAATTGACTCAGCCTCATCTACTCTTCCATCCATAGAAAGAGCCAACAGCAGTGTATCGTACGTTGTCCATGTCAGCACCTGACCTTTACTCATCAGCCACTTGGTTACCTGTGAAACCATTAAAAATTGAGGTAAGTGAGAAAATGTGCTTGCTGAAATTATTTCTTTTTTGCGAATTACTGTGATCTATTCTAAACAGGCTACCAACTAACTAATTTAGTTCATGATAAGTTACCTGGATAATCTGTAGCCATTTTCTTTGCTTTTTCAACATCTCCAAAGCTTTAGCCGCTGCTATAATTGGAAATTCAGACTCAAAAGCAGTCCACCTATCCAATGCACCATAAACAGTTTCTCTTTCATTCGGTAGTTTTGAAACCTAAGAGAGATGGTTCCATAAACTGATTTGAGCACAGATCAGCTTTTAAGCCCAATAATACCATTGCTACAAAAAAGATTTTTCGATAAAGGGCACTTTTATTAACTAAAAATGTTGCATCGAGCAGATACGAAGCATAAAGAGCGACACCTGCCTCTGCATAGCTAAGATGCACACAGTCATCAAACAAACAGTCTGACAAAGAATATAAAAACGACAAAGTGGCAACAGTAAAGCCATATGAGGCCGAAACTATGCCTATGTCGACATAAAAGATGCTTACACATAAGAGCAATGCTAAAATAAAATAAAATGCCAAAGAGATCGATTTGTCAAACTGATTTCACACATTTCAGCATGGAAAGGTGAAAACATCATGATCGAGTGGCGTTATATCTTACAGTATTAACAAGACAAAGAGCCTTCTTCCCTGACCCAGCCGAATCTTTCCTAATCCACAAACGGTGGTCCTTGTTTGACTTCTTTGACACCCTATGACCAAAATAAATGCAATTTAATTTGGTAACTAGTGAAGAGCATCTCAGAACACATATCATAATCTTGGTAGCAGTTACTGCAAACTGGAAGGCCCACGTAAATCCAAACAATGCAAACAAGTTGTATTCTAATACAAAATGACCTACAGAAAACCTTCCCTGGGAAACTCCCTCTAGAGCTCTTATTTTAGCTTTGACTGTTCTGCAGTTGTGCCTTTTCTGTATATATACATCAAGTGCTCTTAAATTCATCTATAGTCATTCAATGAGTGTTAAGATAAGAATGAATGTATGGTCGCTGTATTATTTCTATATGGTATCAGAGTGGTCGATGTTCATGTCCCTCCGGACTAGCTCTATTCTCCTATAGCTGAACACACTTGCTAGTTCAAGTGAAAAAATTGCTCTCTTTATACCATATGGGCGAACTGAATGAGACCAGACACACTGATCTTGACACTTGTTGAATAAATCATCCTATTTTCTCTCAATCTACTCTTTAGCTTACTATGTTTTGCCGTAGTGATTCTTCATTTGTTGTAGGCTTCTGCTTCAAGTGATCATCACTTCACTTCTCTATTTATTCAATGAATGATATGTTAAGTGTATGTTGTCTCATTATATTCTCTCATATGGCAAAAAAAGAAGTTTATCCTAATGTTCATCTGAACTTGTTGTGTCACCATCAGGTCAACATAGCTTGCTAGTTCGGCTGAGCAGAAAGATGGTCCACTCTGTTACCATTTTGACAAACAGAATGATATCAATCACACCCATCTTGCCATTAAATAGAGGGAGATACAACTCATGGACTTGACATGTGTTTATCAATAATAAAGCATTGACAATCTGGTACAGTTCGATAAATGAAAGCAGCATACATAAGGTACTCACTTGAGTGGTTTTCCCTTGACATAGGACATTGCTTAGAGAGGAACGTGGCCACATAGAAGTTAGCCCTTCAACAACAATATCTTAGTTGTATGGCAAAGAACTTATTCCATATGAGGGAATATTGAGAGGATAACAGCAAAAACAACGGTGTTCGTTTATTTTTCCCATGCTACTACTCCTATAGTTCCCCTTACGATGTTCTTGTAACATAGATTTGCACCAATGTGGAAATATCCTGAAAGAAGAAATCGGGGGTATAGCACATACCGGTAGTTTGACGGACGTGCGATACACACTTGATTTTAGGATCAAACTGCACGACATTGTCTCGCCTGACAATGACGCATGCGAGGTCACAGAAGTTGGCTCCTTATAATACAAAATCAGCATGGTCATCAAGGAGAAATGGGGAGAAACAACATTGAACTATTGGGCCACCTACACCTACCTTCTATACTGTTATAGGGAGCTATGTTCTTGTTTCTCCCCTTTTCCCCTTGATGACCATGCTGAATATTGTGTTATATGGAGCCAACTCCCACAACCTAACAGACGTCTTTGTTAGGCGACACAACGACATGGAGTTTGATCCTGAAATCGAGCTAGTGTACCTCAAGTCTGGCAAACCACTAGTATGTGCTCTACCGACAATTTCTTCTTTCAGGATGTTTCCACATTGGTGCACATGAGCCAAAATATTACTAAAAGAGGACCTATAGGAATAGTAGCATGGGGAAATGAACAAATATTGTTTACTTTTGGTGTTATCCTCTAGATATGTCCTCAAATGGATTAAACTCTTAGTCATACAACTAAAATATTTTGGAGCTAGCTTCTATGTGACGAGGTTCCTGCCTATGCAATGTCCTACATCAAGGGAAAATCACTCAAATGAGTGCTTTATATCCGCTGCTTTCATTTCTCGAACTGGTGTCAATGCTTTTCCTCTTAGATACATACATGCTATGATTCACTCAAGCCCAATGGTAGAAGAATTCTCTCCCCACCCCCTCTCTTGAGCAATAGTTAGATTAGTTTGCTTTGCCATTGTGCTACTTTTGTTATTGCGCTTCAAATGTTCTTCTACCAAATCTACTTATTTAAATGACAAGATGTGGTCTTTTTCTATTCTTCTACATGGTATCAGAGCATCCGGTTTCATCTTCGTATGAGCTCACTCTGCTCTTTGAACGGTGCTGGCTAGTTTAGGTGAATGGAAAATTATTTGCTCTGACACCATGTAGGTGGATAGAACGAAACCAAAAACTCGGCATATCATTAACTGAATAGACAACTTTTTCTACAATAAGACCACTATGAGCAGCAACAGAAAATGCACACCAACAATGTGCTTTCTTCTCCCCTCTTCAGCTGTTTTCCAGATTGCTTTGTTTTCCACTGTGCTTTCATTACCACATGTCAACTAATCATCCATTCATTTCCATTTATGCAATGAATGAAAGACAAGTGTGTGTGGTCTCATTGTATTCTCCTACATTGCATCAGAGACATTGATTTTGTGCTCATCCAAACTCGCTCTGTTCTCCTAAAGTTGAACATACCTTGATATTTAGGATGAATAGGGAAACTGACTGATGTGATACAATTTGGCAGAATAGGACCACACACACTCATCTTATCATTAATTGGAAGCCGTACACAACAAGAGCATTTGATGTGTGGCACTGTGGCAGCAGAAGAAACCAAACGTCAAAACACAGCAAAACACCCTCCATCACTCACTCATTTTCCTAGGAAAGGACCGGGTTCCACTATCAGCCAATAACGAACGAAAAGAACAAAATAGCATCCTGGTGCAAAAATAAAAACAGAGCTACGCTGCCGCAGAAAGCTAACAGCGAAAAACTAAAGTCCAAAAGCCCATCACCCACCCATGCCTTCCCTATGTGAAGTGTTCTTCTACTTGAATCTATTTATGCATTGAATAGCAGATAAACGCGAGTAGTCTAATTGTATTCTCCTGACAGTATCAGAACAGTTCATCTTCATGCTCATTTAACCTCTCTAAGGACAAAGCCTGTTCTAACATAAATTGGATTTCATGCACCAGTCAATTCACACACTGCTCCACCCTCCTCCCACTCTGAACCGTTGTGTTTAGGCTTCACTAGGCCTAATTCGTGGACTAGAGGTCAGCACAGCTGTTCTTTTCTTTATATCATGTTAGCTAAAACTTGAAGCATTGGTATTTATTTACCGATCAGTTCACTCAAAGCTTAAATTGATTTGATAAGGTGAGCAGTACACTTTAACAGGCTTTCTCAAATAGTAATATATGTAAATCCACCAGCACATCAATGCCCATATAAACCCAATGGTGACAACAAATTACTTGGACAGTTAAGACTTCCATAGAGAAAATAAAACAAGCAATGAGAAAGACATGTTAAAAGAATCATATTCCATATTTCAAAACACTAAAGACAAGATGGTAAAGTTTGTGGAGAAATGAGGACAAACACCAGCAAGTTACTTTTGATGGAGTGGAGGTGGGATGACTGACATGCCATCACCAGCCCCAACATTCATCACGGTAAAGAAAGAGGACCTTTGAAGTATGGAACCAGCACATCGCGGCGCATGTGCTGAACAACAATACGTAAAAAATTAAAACTTAAATGTAGACGAGTCAAGTTCTCTAGCAGAATCCTGACAGCCAAGTAAAACGTTAGGATGCAGGACTTGTCAAATTGTTCATGTACAAAAACAAAAACAAAAACAAAAGGTGTACAAGTATCACCAAATGTAACAATAAGTGTGTACCCAATGAAATTACACCTAACACCACATATTGCTGCTCTATATCCTAAACAGGACTACAAGATACTAACAAAGTAACATGTTGAGGATCAGAAGTGAGTCTTCAGAACATGTAATCTAAGTCCTGACTCAACTCTCGATATCCAGAACAAGGCTCCTTCAACAACACGCTGTTCAGAGTCAGTAAATCATGTTCAACCACCTCACATATGTCAAATCACTCCTTAAAACTAGTTTTTGTATGTAGAACTGCATCTCCTAGTCGTGCATGACAACTCAGAGAGCTCCTTTAATACGTAGAATTCCTGGATAATATGGAAACGCTCTAATCGTTCACCTGCTAGACCAGACCGACTGCAAGTGAGAACTGATGCAGAAGGGACGCACAAGCCAATACAATCCACAATCATCAAATCCGCTCTAACCGCGACACCGGCAGGCTGCAGCCGTGCGCTCGGACTCGTGTACCTTGAAATACTCCGCAGCTTGCAGCTCGAGCCGACGAGCCGCTCACTACCCCCATTTCCGGCAGCCCAGAGGCAGACCACGAGAACCAACAAAGATAAGCTGGAGAAAACAAATTATCCGCTTACAGCGCTCGGCTGGCCGTAGGGCGGTCACTTCCCCGTCCTCCTCCCCTAGTCGCACTCGCCACGGCCGGCGCCGCGAGGCGCGGCCCTAGGCGGAGCGCGAAGGGACCCGCCGCCATTGCGCAACCAGCCCGCAGGCTATGCTGGTTGGTGAACGGTTGCTATGGAAAACGAGAACGCGATAATGCAGTCAGTTTTTTTTTTCCTTTCTCTTTTTACACTTCAAACCTCTTTACCAGAATGGTTACATCGTCCATTCAAAAAAAAAGAGAATAGTACCTTTCAAAAAAAAACATCGTTTAGCTCATCTTCAATAGAAGATGATTTTTGCATCTTCAAGGCCCCAAAACCCCTCTCCAACAGATTATGTAGATGAAAACAAATTACATCTCTGTCTTCCGAAGATGTAAAATACAACACCTCGCAATGCAAATATACATCTCCACCTACAGGAGATATAAAAAATCATGGCCGCGTGCCAACTGCCAACCGCTCTTTCATTCCCTTCTCTTCCTCCTCTGTCCACCCGCCGCACAGGCGCCTGATTACCCATAAGTATAGGGGGTCGCAACAGTTTTTGAGGGTAGAATATTCAATCCAAATTTATAGATTCGACACAAGGGGGGCCAAAGAATATATGCAAATATTAGCAGTTGAATTATCAATTCAACCCTACCTGGAGATTAAATATCTGCAGTAAGGTGATCAATAGCACAGTAATATGATAGTTTTGATAGCAGTGGTAACAATAGCAGTAGCAATAATAATGATAGCAATGATTTTGTAGCAAGCGTAACAGTAGCAATAACAATAGTAACTTAGCAAGAAAAATATGTGAAAAACTCATAGACATTGGATCGATGAATTCGTTGGATGATATTCATCATATAACAGTCATAACCTAGGGTGATACAAAACTAGCTCCAGTTCATAAATAATGTAGGCATATATCCCGTAAATAGTCATACGTGCTTATGAAAAGAATGT